CCCCAATTGATCCCAGAGGGGCGGGGTATAAATACATTTTATTATTATTATTATTATTATTATTATTATTATTATTATTATTATTAATGAGTTGGCCAGGCTTTCCGACAACCTAACCCTAACCCTTGACATAGACTGGCTAACTTCACTCCACACAAAAAATGTGTATGCATTCCAGATCTTCAGGATCAAATTTGCCACAAGTCCTGAGGTCAAGAAATTTAGCACAATGTAAAACAAAGCAAAAATCCATAGAACATTGCGGCATATAAAATAAAGGTCAGTTGTTGGGTGTTTGTTTTTTAAAAAAAAGTGTTTGGCATGCATTTATTAACTATTCAGATCAGTGCATCTCTAACAATTTCTTACCTCAGACTCATAGCCATGTGGAATGATTTACTGGGGGTGATTAGTATATTTATTTATTTTTAAGGGAAGGCCTAAATCCTAAGTTTTTGATCAGCTTTCTTAGGGCTCTTCAGTTATAGTCAATAGTTGTCTACTTTTTGCTGTAATATTGTTTCTTGTTAAAAAAATATAAAGTCATAAACTTTAAGTGGATTGTGAACCTGAATTTTAAGTTTACTTCAAACAGCAAATATTTTGCTGTGAAAGGTAATTTTCTCATACTATTTAAATATATTAGATTCTGTTGAGACAAACTGTGTTGGATATTAAAATGCTGAAAGCTTGTTCTTTTGGAAATTCTGAGGACTATAACTGATGTTGTGTGGCGTTTTTTCTTTAGTGACTTGCTGTGACTGTAGTTAAATACAGGGATGATCATGCATCATTAGTAAAATAAATGTCCTTACAAAATATGAATGTGTTTTTAAGTGCTGGTGATCACATCACTGAATTTTTCACTTTAAGAAACACAGTGAAAAGAGGAAAGAGGAAAAAAAGATCAGCAGGCAAATTGCTGATGAATTACTGATGAACAAAACTGAGATTAGAGCCAAATTTATTTATTTCCTCCCTCTTTTCTCTTGTGTTTTGACAGCATTTTAGCAGAGTACAGCTAGAGAAACAATTTTGGTGGTCCCTTCTTTCTTTTTCCTATTCTTAATGCTTAAGACATTTCCTCCATGATCATACCTCATTGTGTTTCCTGACAGTTTTTATGCTAACATATTCTGAGTGTGGTATACAGGGATTTAACAGGAATTGTGTAATGCCTTTCTTATTCCTTTGAAAGACATAGCTTGTAAACCCAAAAGGGAGGTTTCTGCTGTGTAATCCTAGATTTTTCATACATATGGACACAGCATATCTTTAGCAATAATGCTGCTATTATTGTCTGCTGGGATTCTCTATCTGGATTCCTTTTGACAGTTTAAAATAAGTTCATAAAACACACATGTTTATTCAATGAAATGCTGAATATGGAAAGAGCATTTAAAGGGCAGCTGTTAGAAAGAAATGGTAACATTTTGGTGTGTGGATCTATGGAAGAATCAATATTATATAGTGCTTATAGACACTTGAATAAAGGCTGTAATATAATGTGAATTTTATTTGCTAAATTCTGACACAACTGCTTCAAGAAAAAAAGAAATCTGTTTTCCTGTGTATCTGTTCATAAAATATACTTCTTTTCTGAGATTTACTTGTCATTATTTGTCATCAAATCAGCTTTGCCTAACAGCAACCCTATGAATAAGAGACACACTGTAATTAACAACTTTGCTCAAATCTTACAAACTCAGTGCCATGACTTCCATGATTGACTCAATCCACTGGTAGTGTGGCCTTCCTCTTACTACCTGCCACTTTACCAAGTATTATTATAGAATTCCCTTCCATGGGACTCTGCCCCCCCTCCCTTCTGGCCTTTCGTAGGCAAGGAAAACATTTTTATTCCAGCAAGCTTTTAAAAAATCATCCAGGGCTGGTTTTATGGGGGGAGGGGGGTTAGATCATTTTTAATCTTTTTATGTTTTGAATTTTGTATGTTTAAATTTTAACTTTTTACTGTTTTAATTAGACTATTTTAATTGTTTTTTAAAATGTTGTTTTGATGTGTTTTGATGATGTGAACTGCCTTGGGTCCCTTTTTGGGAAGAAGGTGGGATAAAAATGAATGACTAAATAAATAAATAAATAAATATCTTTTCCAGTATATCACATCCTCTCATGGTATATCCAAAGTATGACAGCCTCAATGTAGTCATTTGGTATCTAGGGAGAATTTAGGCCTGACTTGTTCTAGGACCCATTTATTGGTCTTGGTGTTTTTAGCAGTCCACAGTATCTGTAGTTGATTTTCTTCCTGTCAGCTTTCTTGCCCAGCTTTCACACCCATGCACAGAAATTGGGAATGCTATGACATGGATAATTCTGACTCTAGTATTTAATTATATATCTTGACACTTGAGAAATCTTATCTAGTTAATTCATAGTTGCCTTTCCAAGTCTTAGTCTTATTCTGATTTCTTGAATTCAGACTCCATTTTGATTAATGGTTAAGCCAAGGTATAGAAAAACTTTAACTATTTCAATGTCTTCCTTACATTACCAGCTTTAAAGGTAAATACATTATCTGAGGCCATTATTTTTTATTTTGTTAATATTCAATTGGAACCCTACTTTTGCACTTTCCTCCTTAACTTTAATCAGTTCCAACTCGCTGCATTTTCAAAAATTAATATAGTGTTATCTGCATATCTTAAATTGTTGATATTTCCTCCAGTTTTCATGTCTCCTTCTTTTAGGTCCAACCCAGCTTTATGTATGATATATTCAGTGTACATGTTAAACAGATAGGGTGATAAAATGCAGCCTTGCATGACCCCCCCCACTTGCAAAGGGGCAACCATTCTTTCACCATACCGATGGTTGCCTCTTAACCAGAATATAGGTTATGCATCAGAACAATCAGAAGTTACAGTGAACCATAGTTTCTCATGATTTACTTGTAACGTTTGTGAAATACAATGGCTCAAAAGGAAAATGCATTTATTATACTCAATAGTCATTCTCCATCACTTTTTCATCTGCATGTAGAAAAGTTAGTTTTATATGTTGATGCAGGTATTGGGCAAACCTTGCTACCACTTTTAAGTATTAGATATCTTTTAGGTGAAGATGCTGATATTTAGATCTGTTAATCTGGGCATATATTGAAAGTATTAATACAAGCAAAAATTCTCACATACATTTCACAAACTTTTCAAGATACTTTCAAATTGGTGATAAAAGTGGTATGTGTGATAGAATTAAACAACACCTTTAAGACTGGTTTATTTTAGCATGAGCCTTTGTGGATATCAATCAACACCTCCAGATGTCTGGAGCTGGACTGCCAGAAACTTGTGATTCACAAACCATAGTCTCTTTCCTTGCCCTGTATGTATTATCTTTTCAATGATGCTAAGAGACACACTCCAGAGTTGGATCAGCTTTTGGATTCATTTTCTGTTGAGCCGATTCTTGAATAGGGGAAAGATAAGCTATGCATGATGCAAAAATAGTGTACAGGTTTTTTAAAAAATTGTAGGGGACATGCCCTGCCTGCAAAGAGTCCCTGTTTAATTCCTGGATCTCAGCTTGAGTGTCATTGCCAGTCATGGTTGGTATTTTACACTAGATGGACAAAGGGCCTGAGCTGGCATAAGGCAGCTTCCTGTGTTCCTAGATTGTGAAATTACCCCACAGAGGAGAACCCTCAGCTCTGTTGACCCATTCAGAAATGTCAAAAACAGATTCTACACAAGGCATTTAAGCTGAGGGTCTCTGCAAAAGTGTTATATTGATCCCTGTTTCATAATATGCTTCACTGATTTTAATTTGTTTTGATCATATAGTTAATTAAATTTCACTGAAGTTTTATTGAATTAGCTTATATTTATTTTATATTTAACTGTTTATTTGAAAATGCATCTGTGTGGCATTGTTATTTGCTGTCAAATTGTCTTTCACCTACAGCAATCCTATGAATGAGAAACCAACAAGAAACCATTGTTAACATCTGTTCTCAGGCCCTGTAAACTCAGACACAGATCACGGCTTCCCTAATTGAATAAATTCATCTGCAATGTGGTTTCCTCTTTTCCTACAGCCTTCAGCTGGCTCCTGGGGATCCCCTGGAGATCCCAGAGCATGATGTCATTACTATGCTTCCAAATTAATATGTCACTGCCCCCGCCCACCACTTTCCACTGGCCAGTAGATGGTCATATTGGGGAGTGGTCTAAAGCAGGTAAAAATGGATGAGGGGGAATAGTTACTTCATGGTTGGTAGAGAGTTCCACCTCTTCAATAATTCCCCCCAACCCCAAATTATGCAGATTAGGTTGGACTTACATCTGGCTAGCTCACTACTAGACTACCAGCCACTATTAGGTAACTACAATTTAGTGTTCTGTATGTAATGAAGGAATTTTGTGTATGACACATTTCAACATATTCACATTCACCGTGCCTAAACAGATTCAGGCCATTTGCAATACAATACAAAATGAATTACTAGGAAGAAGGCTATCTTAACATACTGCTTCATATAATGCTTCCTATATTCAGTACTATAGGATCCATGTATGAGAATGTTTACATGAAAAACTGAATTTTATCAAACAAATATTGTGGGATACTTACTGAGAAAATATCATTCCATTTGGTCATTTTGGCAATTTTACACTGCTTCATGTGGACTATCTGTCAAAGTAATTTTTTATATAAATACATTCCTAATGGATATTACCTCCACCACTTCGATTGTTAACATCATTATCACTGTCATTATTTATATCCTTCCTTTTCCAAAAAATCAGGGTTAAAGCAGCTTATGATATAGTTAACAATACAAAATATCAACATTAAATTTAAACTAAATTCCAGTAGAACTAATCATAACATTAAATGCAAATTAGAAATTCCTGGCACCTTGTTAGTGAAGTGTAAAGACATAAGTCATTTTTTGGATCATTGCAGAGGTCAAAACCTTCTGCTCAGTGATGTCAAGAGCATGTGACTTGCCTGAGGTCACCCAGTGAGCATCATGACAAAGCTGGGAATTGAACCCTGGTCTCCAAAGTCACAGTCTAACACTCAAACCACTATGCCATGTTGGCTCTCTCTATGAGGATCACCGTTTGGGAATTATCAGTTTAAGATGAAAGAGAAGTTCTCCTCCTGAGCGATCTATACTTAACTTTCTAATGTCATTCTTTCATTAAGTACTTATTAGCCCTTTGAAATGCCTTACAACGGAGCTCTAATCATTTAATTAATTCTAATATAGTAGCAGTGTATTGCACATATATTCCTGGCCTACAATTGTTTTCTTAAGAACACAAGAGCATCAAAAGCCTAATTTAACATTATGTTTGCATAATAGCCAACAAGACACTAAGGAGAAGTTTATAATCAGGGCATAAACAAATTACCTCCAAGTAAATAAATGAACTAATGAGCTAAAATTATTTGAAAAACAGTAATATATACCCTCCTAAATTATTTGCTGTATTCACCTGAACTGGGTATGGGATATAGATTGGATTATAAAATGAACTCCAAATATGAATATTTTCTGAAGGTTCTAGATCATCTGGCAGAATGCTGGTGCCAGCCTGTCTGTCTGTGTCGAATGTGTGAGAAGACATTGGCAGCACATGAAAGCAGCTCCTGAACAAGTAAACTTTATGGACTCTTTAAGGTTATTTTTGTAAGATGCCTAGGAACTCTTAAGAAACTGTGGGATTCTCTCATTTATAGATACCTTTACCAATGAACAGAGACCTTTGTGCTTTCAAGAGTGATTACCTTCAAGCATGGGAGATAGACTGAATTCAGGGGCTCAGAATCAAGTATGTGTGGAGACACAGCCATGTCACAGAATTTTTGCACCCTAGCAAGCGGTGGTGGCTGGTGGTTGCCATGTCAGCATCCACTCAAGGTTTCTGAATGAATTTTAAAGAAACTATCAAAGTTGCTGAACATTTTTCTTTCAAATAGAATTCACCTCCACTAATATGGAAGCCACCAACTGCAACTGCTAGGCATGATACAATTTTGCCCCTTCTGCTCATTAGTTCCTGAACAACACAAAATGGACGTATGATGACTACAAGTTGTTCCTGGGCTAAGCATGGAACCATATGTGGTTCAAAATCCATACAGGTTTGTTATATTTTCTGTGAAAGAAACTAATTCATTTGACAGCTTGCAGACATTTGAAAAATTGTGCAGTGAGCACCATGTACATTTTTTAAATACCGTATTTTCTGGCGTATAAGACGACCCGGCGTATAAGACGACCCCCCATTTTTCCAGTCAAAATATAGAGTTTTAGCACCTCTATCTTACTTATCCTTATACCTGGCGTATAAGACGACCCCCCCACTTTAACCACAGATTTTGCAGGTTAAAAAGTAGTCTTATACGCAGGAAAGGTAAGCATTTAGGAAAAGTGGGCATGTGCTTCTTTGAAAAGGCAAAAGATGTACATATAGGGTGAGTTTTTTGCTGGTAAACAAGCTTCATGAAACTGTTACAGAATGGATTTGGAAATAAGAATAGACATGACAAAACTGTCCATCCTGACTCCAGATGTGTTGGGTTAAATTCCCACAATTTCTGACCACCTGTAAATGAGTGTATAATTCAGTCACCTTGGTGAATGTTCCATACAAAATTTTAAGTACTCGTGGGCAAAGCCAGAAGTTTAATTTTTGAGGCTCTCTTCATGGGACTTATAGAAAAATATATTGTGCAAATCAGCAATGAAATTCCTCTCACAATGCTTACAATAGCCTTCCTTTCAAGAAGATGTTAGTTGCAGTAAAAGTTGTATCCACAGAACACTTCCTTGAGTCTGGTGGCTGACAAAAGCTTTTTGACTAAAACGTCAGCATTCTTTACCACCAGTCACACTGGCTAACACTGATTAGAGTTTTGGCCCAAAACATCTAAAGGACCTGATTCAAAAGACCTGTTCTAATGAACACTTTGGACCTCTGAAAACATTAATTTGCCCTTCTGGCAACTGAGAAGACTCTGGGAGGGAGGGACAGAGTAGGTGGGCAGGAAAAAGCAGCTTGATCCTGAGTTTTCTGAAAACAGGTCAAAACCCTGCTGTCTGCATGGTCTACTCCCAAACTGGGCTGAATACCCACAGGCTGTCTGCACTACACTGCATCAAGTTGGGGTACTTGGTTATTTTTCTTTTCTTATCTCCACCATGCATGTGCATTATTGCACGAACACACCACCCATGACTTCCAGTTACCTTTCTCACTCAGATGGTATCCCATTGGACACCTGCCAGTATGATCAGCCATATCATTGAACATGTGATGCACCTCATGTATAGTGCATTGGTGCATTGATGTGCCCAGTAATACACTGACAAAGCACAATCATGGAGGCCTCGCATACATGCCCCCTTCATTCCCCATCAACCCATGCCCCCTGTCCAACTGTCTGGTTTCTGGTTTCATTAAAACATAATTGCATTATTAGTGGTTGTGTTTTTGCTTTGCTGTAGTCCTGTACTGGCACCAGTCTGTTTATATGCAGGTGCAATGATGCACATTTTCTGCTTGAGCCAGGGTATCCCAGCTTCTTTGTGCTCTAGTTTTTAGAGCCAGAGTGAAGCTTCATTTTGCTTTCCACCCACTTCTGCTTCATGTGTCGTCTAATCACCCCACCTTCAAAGCAGTTAGAAGCTGCTTTATCTGGCCAGTGCAGACTACCGCAGAGACAGAGAGATTAGAGGAGAGGGCATAGTGTTAGAAAAAGAGACATCAAGAGAAAATGGCATCAGAAAAAAGAAATAGAAATGAGGCAGCCCTGCTCCCTTTGGGTACTGCATTTTAAAAAGTTCATGTTCTCTTAAGGCCTAAGCAGACTGCCAGAAATAGTGCACATTAAATTG